GACAATGGGTGAGCTTGCTCCATATTAAATCATTTGAGCACTTTTTCTGTGTATGTCTTTTGAGGCACAAGGATTCCACCCTTAAAGTGTTCAATCTGTAATCCCAAACAAAATTTTGTTTTGCCCAAATATTTCATCTCAAACTCTTTTGTAAGGTATTCAACTGTTTGGGAAATTTCTCCAGAGGTTCCTAGGATATTCATGTCATCAACATACACTGATATTATGACAAAGCCCTTGTCGAATTTCTTTATGAATATGCATGGGCTTATTGGATCATTCTTATAGCCCTCTTTCACTAAGTACTCGCTTAGTCTATTGTACCACATTCGACCTAATTATTTCAATCCAAAAATGATTTGTTTCACTAAGTACTCGCTTAGTCTATTGTACCACATTCGACCTAATTATTTCAATCCAAAAATGATTTGTTCAACTTTATATAATATTGTTCTCGACAACTTGCTTTGTTTTTCAGCTCAATACCCTCTGAAACTTTCATGTATATCTCATTATCCAGTGGACCATATAAATATGCAGTTACTACATCCATTAACCGCATGTCTAAGTTCTCTCTTATAGCCAGACTTATTAAGAATCTATAAGTAGTAGCATCCACCACAGGGGAGTATGTCTCCTCATAATCTATTTCTGGTCTCTTTGAGAATTCTTGTGCAACCAGTCGTGCCTTATATCTAACGACTTCACCACGTTCATTTCTTTTCCTGACAAAGACCCATTTATATCCAACTGGTTTAACATCAAGAGGTGTCTGAATTATTGGACCAAAGACCTCTCTTTTCTTTAAAGAATTTAACTCCGCATTTATATTTTCTTTCCATTTGATCCAATCTGATCGTCGAGTGCACTCATAGATAGATCTGAGTTCATGATCCTCGTTCATGTCCATAATTTCAAGTGCTACGTTGCATGAAAATATATCATCAATGTCGACATTCTTTATGTTCCATAGTATTCCAGACATGACATAATTGATTGAGATCTCATTATTATCAGGATCATCAGTACCATAGAAGTTTGGCGTCCCAAACCTCATTGTTTGGCACATTAGGTTCAACCGGCCGGTTCGTCCATGTCTATGGTTCCCTCGACCACAGATTCGGTTCCAGCACCTTTCTTTAATTTATGAGGGTTCTTATCTTTGGAACCTATTGGTCTACCATGTTTCAAACGTGCTCTAGACTCTGTAGCAATTTGATTGTGTCCTTATTGGACATCAATACAAATTGGTGCATTTGCAGCTGGTATATATGACTTTGTTACTTTGTTCAGGTCAGCAAAAGAATCTGACAATTTATTAGCTAACTATTGTAAGTGTATTATCTTTTGGACTTCTAAATCACACTCTTGAGACCGAGGATCTCGCCAAGATATATATGGTTGAGACCATGTAATTTCTTTTACCAGCTTATTTTTACACTTTATTCTTGAGAAGTAGAAGTATATTGGAGAGTGGTAATGAGCTTTCATGTTGTGTGTGACAAAGTCAGCTGATGTTCAAAAGGACCATCTAATTAGTTTTGAATTATTTGGGATTCAAGATCTCTCATATTTCTTCCATGTTAATATTAGCTTTCTCTATGTATTGGTTGCAAGAATTCTACTAAGGATTGGTGGTGCATAAAACATTTTTCTTGTCGATACATTTCAAAGAGAGTGATATATCGAGATGATTTAAAGCACGATACATTGTTTTCACTTATTTCTGATAATCACGTATAACAGGGCTTGAGGTACAGTCATAGCTGGATCCTTGATCTCCTCCGCATTGCTATTTACGTCATATGTGACTTGGAAGATATCATGCATCAGTTGAGGTTTGTTGTTAGCGTGTTATCGGCTACAGATTTGATCAGTACAAATAAAGATGGTCTAAATTATTGATAATGAAAAAAACTTAAATAGAGAGAATGCAATAGAGGTGTGAGAGAGTTCAGAGGGCCAATCAAACCGGGTGTTAACACTTAGTCGGTGCGAGTCTTCTTGGCGGAGCGCCCTTCCTCTACAGCTAGATCTTCCTCTCCAGTGTAACCAGCAGCAACATGTGTCTCTATTGGATCATTGGCAGGCCTGTTTTGTCTTTCAGCTATCACAGTGGCACTGTAACCGCTTATGTCCAGGCCAGTCGTGTTCAAAGCAGGTGTCACTCTTTTCAAGGCCAGCTGACAGAAAATAAGTTGTAGACAATCTTACTATACAATGATCAAGAACTATATAGTATATGCATACCTGTGGCGAGCTAAAAAGGATAGCAAATCCATTGATCAGATAACTGTACGTACTTACAAAGCTTTATGTATTTTTCTCCTTTTAATGTTACTCAAGAAAGAAATAGTTTAATCAATAGAAGGTGTTCGCTATGACCTCCCCCCTCCCATGACGTTTCTTGGAATTGGTTTTATAAGAAAACCAAAATGAAAGTTAATACAATACAATACAATACAATAAGCTACACAGAGAATCTAGTGAAACATAAAAAGAAATAGTTTGTCAGTACCTTGGTTGTAATATTGGTTTGAATTTAAAAGTGTAGCGTGGCCATGCTCAGCTCTCTGGTGTCCATGTGTAGCTTGTTTAAGCTCTTCTTCCTCAAATAGATGAACAAATGGAGGCTGTTTAAGCGTGACAATGTAGACAACAGTATCATCATCGTCCACATAAGAGTCTAGGTATTCACCTCGACGGCTCCAACTAACTTTGGATTGACATTGGTAGCTAATAACACCTTAAGTTCTACACCAGAGGCTAGCAACTTTTCATCCAAGGTCCAATACACTCAGGCAGACGATTGTTTCACTGAAAAGTGATAAAGTTAGAGCAGTGCATATGCCCAAATTTGAAAAAACAAACAGAAATGTTGAACACAATTAAAGCAAGAGAGTTCTCACATACTTCTCAATCATTATGGTTACCATGATGTCTCCTAGTTGAAAATTGTTCTAATACCCTTAACTTCCCCAACAACATCTCCTTACAAAAACAACAATGAATGCAACGTTACTGGGAAATGAATAAGCAATTGATACAATACTTCCACGGGATGATTAGGCTAACTTACCTGGCAGATCAGTGTTCGTATTGGCTAGAACCATGAGTTATTGTGGAACCAAAAACTCTAAGGAGGAATGGGGTCAATTGTTTTTGAATCTTCAAGGAATACGGTTTGGTCCGTGAATCTAATAGCAACCGGGGTGTTACCAAACTTGAACTCGGGCTGCTTCTTGCAACATCGAAAACACTGAGTTCATAACCTGAGCCTTTTTCAGGAGATGTTAACATCAATAGCTCAAAACCTTAAACAAATAACTGGAATAATGAACCGGTTTACCTTCCCATCACTGAACAGCATATCAACACCCATAAGCTCGCCCCCTTTCTTCAGATTTCAAGCAAGATTTTGAAAGTTTCATCTTTTCTCACTGTGCCCAAATACCTCTAATGCCAAGAATGAAAGAGTTACAAAAGAAACAAAGATGTGGTGGGTTTATCATACATTGAAAGAAATATAAAAGCGTACATTGCTTACAACTATATTTGGATAGGAGTGATTCTTGAGAAGCTCAACTTACTCCGACAGGTTCTGGATATGAGACTATCTGAACCAAGTAGGATAGTCATGATGAATCAATCAGCTCACTATTGATAAAGAAACGACTAAGATCATGTGATGGAAAATAAGTCATGCACAATAGTAACAAAGAAACATGTTAGTTTATTGGAAAACTTGAGTTTTTTTCTTGGATGCAGTCAGAACCTTGTAAGAACAACTAAAATGTAGTCAATTCAACAACAAAAATACCGTTATAGTAAATACCCAAAAAAATATAATTATGGAGAAATCAAACAGAATGAGTTTGGATATCCCATTGACTACCAAAAATTCATCATAGGAATCATACTCCACAGAGGAAAAAAAATAAAAATCAAACTGCAAAGAAGGACTACACTTTCTAAAATCCAAAAGAGAGTTAATAAATTAACATGTTTAATGGCGAGAAGCTCTCCGGAATCGAGGTTAATAGCAAACTGCACATGCAAGATAGATTAATAGCAAAATTAATTAGATTCTCTTGTCCAGCACATACCCTGTTACAATATATTGAAAGCAGATCAAGTACAATGGAGAAGCCGCACATTTTGCTGGAGCCATAACTCAATTCGCAGGCTAATATATGTCGATTTTTAATACAAAAAAAAAGAGAAACCATAGAGAACTCAATCAGTTAGAAGTAATCACCATGAGCATAGCCTAAAAAGAAACAAAAAATTTAAGCTTTGGGAGGTAATCAATCAAAGATAAACATATAGTGTCCTGAGAAAATGACAGGGAAATCAAATCGTCTATAAAATCAGTAGATAATATTTACTCAATACCCAGATAGGTAACAAAGAAAGGGATAAATCATGAAGACATACTATCTGCCATTTCACTTTCTTTAACTTCCTAAAGAGCCGTAGCGTAAGCTTCATCATCTGAATAAGCTTCAAATAATACCCATTCGCCTTCCATCTTTGAAATGGAGCACAAACACGAGAAAGGGTTTCGATGGAAAGAGGATTGTAGAATGGATCTTTTTCGTATTTCTAGTTAGGGCTTCAAGGAAATCAAAGTGAGAGACCGTTCGGAAGGGGATAAGCGAGGTGATGGAGAGTCTTGGGTATGCCCAATTTAATGTGAGAGAGTGAGAGGAGTGGTAGGAGAGACGTTAATGGTTTGATTAATGTAGAACAGAGATGAAAACTAAAACCGTTACACTGGCTTTGATCGGAGTTTGAATCCTGAGATCCAAAGAGGCACATCAAATGTTCAAGCAGGTTAGTTAATTTTATTATATAAGATTACATATATATTAAATACAAATATTTTTTTTATAAATCCGGGTGTAGCCCGAAAAAATCTCTAGTTATTATAGTTAGAGTAAACATCTTTTGTATCAGGTGACATAATCGTTAACAGTAATCATCATTAAGAAAATTTCTCACATTTTATCACCATTTGAACAAAACTCATTTTCTGAGTCAACTGCACTTCGAAGTTGTTGCCCTTCATCATTTTGTTCGCTTTGATTATTGGTGGTTAAGCTAGAGTACTCTACGTTTCCACCGCAAACCCGATCAACATTCAAATATAGTGTCACAACAAATATTGTGTTTATAACGAATAACCAACTGAATTCGAGGGTTGCCAACGATTTAGCTCTATGGAGAGCTTCTTCGGTTGAACACTTAACCATTGTACGTCTAATTTCTCTATCTTGAAAATAACATCCCTTAGGAACCAAACTCGGTGTGTAAAGCATGAAACCTATCAGTATCAACCATGCTCCTTGCAAAGCTATGCTTGAAGATCTCACCAGGCTCACCAAAAAACTCTTGGGCAAGGCAATACCTTTTGCAGTAAAATGAAACTATTAGTTGTATATTAACTTTGGAACCAACTGTATATAGTTACATAAAAAACACAAATAAATTAAAAATATCAAAATTTAAATGTATGTCAAAATTAAAATATGTAATAACTAGAGTTTCTTATGTTGAAATCTCATATGCATCTGGAGATGTTGTGGTGACTGTGAAAACATTGAGTTTTCAAAACTTTGTCGCTTTGTTAATTAGTTTCATAAAGAGTTTGTAATTAATCTAAAGTTCCAAAATTTGGAAATACAAGTTCATATTTTATTTAAGCCTATCTTCAAAAAAAAAAATTCATATTTTATCTTCAAAATCTACATTAATTTTCCTTTTTCACAGTCTATATACCCGAATAAACCAAAGGGGCCATGGCCAGACCTGGTCTAGATACGTCATCAAAAATCATGAAACTGACAAAAAAATTTCAATATTGATATATATATATATATATATATATATTTAAGAACTTTGAGATACTATATTTATTCTAAGGGTCTCTGAACAATATACCCATGAGAGTGGTGAGGAGAGAAACAAAGATAATGAGCTGGAAGATGAGATGGTATTGTCCCTCAACGCCCATGTGGTCGGCTGAGTGAAAATGGAAGAGGATTAGCTCCTGAGTGAAGGCAGCCGCTAAAGCTAGGAGGGTTAGTCCCTCCGAAGCTGCCGCTCTAGGCCGTGCTCGGTCAAGCACTAGTGCTAAAACAGCATAGGCCAATAAGGACATGGCGATGGAAGAATGTTCGAAGTTGCGGGGCTGGTGTGTTATTAGTCCGAAGAAGAGCTCCAGTGACATGAAAACTGATGAATATGACATGATTAAGTAGAGCTCTAAGTACCTGGTCTTTGATGTTGGAAACCATGGAGATGAAGTGAATGTGTTTGGACATAGACAAAAGAGTTTTATGTTGTTGAATAAGTGCCATAAGCCAAATGCTACGAGCGCACAACCGTATACAATATGTCCTTCACGAAGTCCCATGTTGTTGGTTTTTTATATCTTAGTGATAGTGATCTTTGGTTTGTGATTGTGAGCAAGAAGCATCGATGAATCGATGGGCTTTATGTTAAGCGTTTGCCCAAACTATGACTGATTTTACTTTGGGGAGGGGTGATTATTAAATCACGCTGCCAGCCTGGCTGATTTTTTTATACAAGTCACAAAACCCCATTTGCAAATAAATTTGGAAATTTGGCGTAACATAGAAAATTAATATTTTAAGCAGAAGAATTTGATAAACTACCCTAATGGTGAGAAAGGCAGGTCACGCACGCATCATGGAATGTGTTTCATACATTTGCTGCATAATCAAAACAAAAAGATAATTGGTGTATTCTTTTTTTTTTTCCAAAAGATAATTGTTATATTCTGTATATAAATAATAATATATACTATTTTAATTTGATTATCTGGCTTCTTATCTTTCTCTATTTTTTGTAAATATTTTGTTGTTTGTTTTATTCTCTACAAATATTTTCTAAATTAGTTAATTCAAACTAAAAAGGATATACAATTTTGTGTATATTCCATAATTATGTTTTAAAAACAGACAATTTTTTAAAGATAATTAATTATAAAAACAACTTATTGTTTCATATAATACATTATATCTTCTTATTCTATTTGTATATATAAAATTTTTAGTCTATTTATAGCATTCTAAACTCTATATTTTCCTAATGTGAACATTATGTTTTATGGAAATTTTCAATTTATCATCCAGGCTAGCTATATAGTATTTAACTACTTACTAGGTGACTGGCCCGCATTTTGTGCGACATAAGAATATCAAAAATATAAAATAAATAGTTTATAGTTTTAAAAGTTACGGATTTTACAAAACTCAAAGTAAAATTGTGTTGTATATATGTTATAATTGTATATTGGGGAGCTTGTATATTTTAGTTGAGTATTATATCTATGTTAAAAAACAGTGACATGTTTAAAGAAAATATAATAAAAGTTGAAGTATAATCCATAAGTAATGCAAATAAAATTCTAGATTATGAAAAAACAAAATCCAATAGAAAACCTGCCAAAAAATATTTAATTTTGTAAGCAATTGTACAGAATAAGTAATTTGATAGATTTTAAGTTTATAACTTTTATTGAACATAAAATAATATTAAATTTACACACCGTCATCAAAATAATCTTTGAAACTGGTTTGTAGTCAACTACAATCAGCCTCCTAATTCATCACTATTTATCTGATAATAAAAGAAACAAATAAATGCAACCATTTAGAATTTCAAATTTTTAGGATAAAGGTAGATTAAAATTACGAACCATTGACTATGTAATACTAGGGTCGGGCCGGGCTAAGCCAGGGTTTTTCGTTGAAATTTTAGTTATATATATTGTATGTTATTTTGATATATAAATATTATAATCTATTAAAAATATAAGTAGTTAGAAAATTATATAATTATTTTTAATCATTTATTGTTTTTTGTCTTTTGAATTTCAAAAATTTTAATATCCAAATTTGGAATGTCATAGATTATCAGTACGTGTTTTGCGTAGAATTGTTGTGTATTATGACTCATCTCAACTTTTGTTTCTTTATTTGTTGCGTGTTATTATTTTATTTCAATTTTTTTGTAAAATATTGTTTGGTTATTTATTACTCATTTTTTTACTGTTTGAATTTTTTTAATAATTATTCTAAATTTGATCTTATTTACCTAAAATGGAAAAAAAAATTAGTGTGTGAATCTTTTTTTCCTTAGGTTTGATAAAACGTAAATGAAAACAATATGATAACAGATTTTTCGTCTTTCCAAACCTAAAGACTTCTTTATTTATCTTAAATATATTTAAGTATTCTGTAACTTCTACTTAACTATTAAATCTTTATTAAAATTTTCATTAAACACAGGAAATTTTTTTTTATTAAACTCAAGTTATATTACATAGCATAATTAAATTTTAATTAGTCTTATTTTATATCTTATTAGTTCTTGCTTTTTAAATTATTTTCATTATGTATTAATTTTTAATTATTTTTATATCATTTTGTATTCTAGGTTAACAATAAATTTGGGAGTAAAAAAGGAACCAAAAATCTGCGAGATTCGTTATTTTTATTTTCCTTGGTATAAATCTAATGAAATGTATAAAGATTAATTGCGTAAATTTATTTGGGGTTTTTGCCAAAACTAACCCACAACTTGGTTTTAACCCCAATACTAGACCCCAACTTGAATCAAATGCAAATCTAACCTAAAAGGGCTATGAAATTACAATAAAGTCCTCTGTGACCAAACAAAAAAACAGAAGACATTTTTACGAATATAACCCCAGTAAGTTGTCTGAGTCGGGCTGAGTTACTTTTCAGTCGTCTGGACGACTGAAATGTTAGTCGTCTGGACGATTGAATCTTAAAAATAATTTATAAATTCTGTAAAAAATATTTTCATGAGTGAAAAATTAAAAACATGTAATTAT